ACAACCTGCTAAATACCTACAGCTTACATTGCACAGACAGGAAATGGAGTGAACAGAAGAACTCCCATGGGCCAAATTGGCTATGAAATGGTCATGTAAGAAGTACTTCTCAGTAGAGTCTTGCCTTGTAACAAATCACTGTCTTCCCCGACTCAAGTCAGGGGATTACAAAGATTAGATCTAGAGTCTGTCTAAAATGACTTGGATAAAATGGGTTTAAAAAAATCATCACAGACTTGCCATTTCTGGCTTTCATGGTCTGGGGACTTTGGACCAGCTGTGGGAATTAGGAGCTGTAACCATTATAATCTCTTTGCAGCAAGCAGTCAGTGCCATCAGCAAAGCAAAGACTATTTCAAGGAAATCCCTGAGCCCAGCACCTGTGGGACTGATGCTATTGCAGGGAGACAAAACCACCAGGAAACAGAAACTGAGAGAAATCCCTCACCCTTTTCCACACAGAAAGACATTCTTCCTATAAGATCTTCTTGTTTGAAAATGCAAGTTCCTTTACTATCAGTGTCAAAAGATACAAATGAATTCACTTGGAAAGAAATGTCTACGAGTTCTATTTAACCTAACCTTTTAAAAAATCTGGCATATTGCTTCTAATATACCAGTCTTTAACTGTAGACAGGAGATAAACGTGAGACATATTTGAGCAAAGATGTTTAAGTCTCACTGGGAGAATTCCCTGAAGGGAACCAGTGAAATTGTAAAGCTTCAGAGAATCTTCAAATGCCATAACTTTTTATTGATTCATGGTAAGGGTGTGATCCAACACGATGATCATACCTGGACAGGCAGAGTCCCCACTGCATCACAGATGATGTCTTCTAACAGTCTTCCTTCAAATGATTATTGTTAAATTAAATCATGTTTCAACATGGTGTGAAACATTATCATTTAATGTAATTTCATTAAATTAAGTGAAATAGTTGTCTTTCAGACAGGTATTCTCCTCTGTATGTCGGCTTCATAAGCTTTGATTCTGAATTCTTAATATCTTTTGTTGATATTTAAGGGTATTTTTTAAGATTAGTATTTCTCAATAGTCTGCTGGAAAGACAGCACAGAATTATTTTGATCATTGATTTGTTCTGTGTGACACATAGAACATTTATAAGGTCACTTTTGACACAATGCCAAAGAGAAAATTTCAATGACTTACTCCTAATGTGTATGTGTATAGAATTATGAAAATAAGCAAAATGAAGCATGTGTAAACATGTGTGAACATAAGGCCTTCAAATACTCTGTCCCAAAGCAGGATCTCACAGATATTGAGTCTAATGAATAATGAGATCATATATTTTCCCCATAGGTGCCCTATAGCTTGGTTGGAGAAATACTGTGATAAGCAATACTTATCTCAATAGAAATGAAACATCAGAAAGATATTTCTATAAAATGGAGGTTCTATTGATCTTAAAAGCATACTATACTGCAGAGCTCTCCCCATCTCACATCCTGTCAGAAAAACCCAGCAGTCAAAAACAGAACTATAGAGAAAACAAAATATCCACACTATCTTCCAGATTCCAACTGCTGCACATCTTGAGACACTGAATTTTTGTTTAAATTTATAGAATCTGTTGAAAGTCATTAAATACTCTCCATCTACGGTATGCTAAGTGCAAGAGCCGCAACATCCCTCCTACATCAGAGTCCTGCTTACAAACACTTACGTGATTTCTTTAGAATGTGAGTTAGGTCTGCTGAAATATTCACCTGGCTATGAGTTTAAGGGATTTTTGTATTCAAATAAAATAATTCATTCCTTTGATTAAGAACCTAGACTCTGGAACAGGAGTACTGAAATGACACCCTAACTTTATTACTTTTCAGTGTGATATTGTATTTCTATACCTGTAGAGCAGAAATCCTAATGGAGTGCATGCAACATGCTCAAAGAAGGGCATGTGATACAGTAAACACTGTCTGTGCTCATTGTTATCAATATGCTCAACAGTTTTTAACTGCCTATGTACACATTGAAAGTCACCGCCTAGTGAGTACTCAGCCTGTATGCATTATATGGAGCAAAGCAAGAAATAAGTAATCATCAGCATTGTTGAAGTGATTCTGCCTTCTAACCGATACCCGACAAGAAATGCTTATTATCTGTCACCCATGTTTATCAGCATAAAAACAGATATATAATCAGGCTAAACCATCCCAGTGAATTTATCTAAGCCTGTGTCCTCTCAGGATATGGGAGTTCTAATTGGCTTTTGGCATATTCAGTGAAATGAGAGGTAATCACTGTCCCCGGTACTTTAATATTCTGTGTAATATCCAGAGTGATTTAGGAGGCTAACTTGGACTTGGAAGAGTAAGAATACCCAGGCTTCTCATTCAAACACTTCATTTGGTCTTTTAACATTTACAATAATTTTTTTAGCAAAGCATATTCATAGTTTTAAGAAGTATTAAGATTTTCAGATTGAAAACTAATAAAATTGTCCATTAAAAAGTATACACCAAATTTACTCTGAAATTACTATTTTAGGGTCTGACAAAAACAAATAAACCTTTCTGAGTATAGCACTATGGTGGATAGAACTTGGAGCTAAGCAGGAAAGAGCCCTCGGTTTAGTAGTGGCTCATCTACCTGCCAACTGTAGCCACCATGTAGCACTTCTCCCAGGCCTGTTATACAAAGGGCCTGATCTTGGGGGCAGAGCTTCAGACTTGGAGAATCCTTAAGCGAAACTTCCCAGGAAATTTCTCTTGGTAGATATCCAATGATGGAAAATCTACCATCTCCAAGTGACTGTTTGACTTGAAGGTCTCCTCATGCTGCCCATTTACTATGGATAAAATGGCAATTTATTTTTTTGTTTCCTACTTCTACAGAGATAAATTCCAATTTTCTGACTAAGGCATTTTAGTTTAATAAAATTTAAAATAATGAAAAAAATAAATGCTCTGTGAAATTTTCACATGGATGCTGACTGATATCTATGCTGTACCACCATAAAACTAACTAGCCAAAAGGCCTATGGAGGACACCAGTCCTTTAATAAATGCTATGTTTTCTTATGTAGATCAATTAAGATTAAAGTCATTGTCAAAACAATTTTGGCAGTGTAGACATCATCCCTACCCAAGTCAGCATGGAGCAGGGAAAGGATACTGAATGAGAGGTTGGGGTTCCTGGGGTGTAGAATTAGTTCTGATATTAACTTTCACTGTCACTGTCTAAAGTCTCCAAGCAGTCTGTACCGCAAGTTCCTCATCTATAAAAGTGATAGTTTGAGTGCATCTATCTCTAAAGTCTCAGATAACTTTAAATTGTCATACTTCAAAGAAAATGATTTCCCCCTAAGGTAGTTTCCTGATGAAGGAATAATTTTCCCAGCCGTACATTTGCTCCAAAAAAAAAAAAAAAAAAAAAAAAAAAAAAAGACAGAGTGACCTCCCTGCTTCAACATAAGTAGCTCTTCTCTTCACTAAAAATTGAGAAGTATCAGACTCTATAAGGCTGAAACCACGCAACAAATGAAGCATCAGCCCCGGCACCCAGCACACACCTTGGTTGTGGAGACATGAGCTCCAATTTTCAGATCTCCTGGGAGTGAGGAACAAGTCTTAGGGGCTTTATCATGACAGAATGGGTCCTATAAAACATCACCATGTACAAGGTATGTGTATTGAATTGTTATCTGTCTCATAAGATCTTTCTCTTGGGGCTCTTCCGATGCCTAACAATCCAATCTAAAGCCATCTGTCTCCCCTTTCCCCAACTCATGAGGCCTATTTTGTTAACCCAAGTCTTAAACAGGCTTAGGAGCCGAGTGAATTCCCAGAACATTTGAGCATGCACAGGCTACTAGAGCTGACTCCAGAGCTGCTTCATACAGTGTCTCCAGCCCCTAGCCCTGTCTTAGGCTTTTCTGCACTCCTAGGATGACAGGCCCTGCCCTTGCCAAGGAGTCTACATGTGTCAGAACCAGTTTTAGCTTGAAAACATCAGTAATTCCCATGATGACATTGATCTTTGAAATAAATGGAAGGGTGTACTGATGCAAATGAAGACAAATTCAGGGGAAAAAACTTGAAACATTATGGAAATTACAGAGTAAAAATGTAAAATGCCTAATCATAGATCACTATTCAAAAGAATGGAAATTCATATCTAAGCAATATGGAAATGCAGGCAGTATGTTTTAACAAAGAAAAGAAGATAATGAGGTAATGGTATCTATGTATAGATGCATATATAATATATCATATATATGGTCTATTATTGATTCTACCAAAAAGCTGAATAAAAGATATGAAAATCATAGAATACTTTAAAATGAAATATGCAGACCTTCTTATCTAAAATATGATTGCAATAAGAAATTATATACATAAAAAGTAGGGAGTTCCTTCTGATTTGAATATTAACTAAAAAAGAACATTAACATCCCTTATTTTGTAGAAAATTTAGTCACAGATGTACTCCTTTCACAAGCAAAGGGGAGAATGCAAGTGACATATCCCAGGCTATCCCTAGCAAAGCAGTGCTGGCCAGGCACCGGAGCTTCCATATCTGGAAATAACAAAGCAACCACTGAAGTCCAGTGGTTGAAGGGAAGCAGAGTAAATGAGTAGAGCTCTGGAAGGAGAGAGCCTCAGCTTTGCCCAAGTGGATTGTGTAGTACTGTTGTCAAATATCAATAGTTCATTAGACAAGCACTATTGTTGATATTCATGTTTTTTCTTCCCTAACCAAAATCAAAAAGAGGACCTTGAGCCATGACTTCCATCTGACAAGGTCTCCTCTTCTTCCATAGTGATCTAAGTGTCTCCAAGTTCTCTTCTTTAGTGAATTGTGCTCTTCTCAGCTACCTGTAAGACTGAAGTCCCAATATCATCACTCCGGTTCCTCGCCTACAGAAAAAGTCTCCCCTTTATTATTTGACCCATGAGGGTGGTGAATGGCTTCAGGTCATATTTTTTTTCAGCACTCTTCTGCTGGTGGGTGTGCTTTTCTTTTCTCTCTACAGAAATCAAAGATATCCACCTATGAGAAGATGTGGGCTTTTATGAGCAGTAGACAACAGAGTGCACTGGTTAAAAACAATGATGAGGGGATCCAAAGGGTGCTCACCACCGACTATGCCCTGCTGATGGAGTCCACCAGCATTGAGTATGTGACACAGAGAAACTGCAACCTCACTCAGATTGGGGGCCTCATAGACTCCAAAGGTTATGGAGTGGGAACGCCTATAGGTAGGTAAGAGGGGCAAGGCATTACCCAAGGACAAGTTGAGTGATGTTGATTACAAGTATTCAACATGTTGAGAGGCGTGTTATGTCTACAGCAGACTAAAGAGGAAATGTCTGTAAAAAATAAGGCATGGTTTAAATTGAGTAATCTTAGACACTTAATCTAATAAATTTTCAACTACTATTTTTTTATGTCTTTCCACAGTAACTGTTTAAGACTTGTGTGATTTTACTTTTACCACCAATATTTTAAAGAACATATTTTCCTAATTAATCTTCATACATTATTTTCTTGAGTAGCTGTACTACCTAGTTTTTATGCCTTAAGTTATGCTAGAATATAAGGAAATGAATTCTCCATACAGATGAAAATTTCAGGTATAGAAGGCTGTGGTTCCATCTCAATAAATGATAAGACAATGCCATATCTGTCAGAAGTAAGGGCAGAAATTAAATTTTAAACTTTTCTCAGACAATAAACTAGAGTCAAAAAATAACTCCCTAAAACCTCCAGACATTTCTCTTGCTTCAGTTCAATAGCACTGTGCTTCCTCAGGACCCTATTGCCTACAAAGACCACACACCCATATACTTTCCTCTTCTATGAGAGTAACAGGAATAAACAGAAAGGGTGCCTATGTTCAGGGGACAATTACTCATCCTTTCTACAAAGAAACCCTTGTCCTGTTGCCTCACTCTATAGAAAACTGTATTTAAGGGGTTCTGCCATAAAGGTGCCCTGTTCCTCTCCAGTGAGGTTTGGTATTCCAAAGGAGAGACATAAGGCCTTCTAGACCTGTGGGCTAATGCAGTAGGAAGAAAGTGTAGTGGCAGCTGAGCTAGATAAATAAGAGCCAAAGATAAACTTGACTTATTGTCCGTATTTGTATTTTGTTGCCACGTTTGACAGGGATTATGCAGTGTGACCATCAATGTCAGGCAGGGATCATAAACTTCAATGTTTACAGAAGCCAAGCAGAGATCATGAGTCAAGACGGTTTACTTTGCTGGGGAACGCTCTCAACGCCAGACTGTTAGAGACCATGACTTGTCTAAAGGAGGTCTTTCCCATCAGTCATCTGTAGATCTCTAGGACTTTAAGAAGAAGAATGGCCAAGTGCTTCATTTTCCCAAAAAAAAAAAAGTCATAATTCAGATAAAATAAATTTCCTAATGTTAATAATTTGACAGCTAATTAATTTTATTTTAAAAAACTGTGTCCAACCCATAATCAACAACATTTACCATGCTAATATTAATTAACCAAATAAAGAGCTTCAGTTGCACAAACAGTTTGGCCCCCCACTACTTACTGGTTAGAAATACCAATATTTCCCATGAGAAACTAATCTTATTATCACTGTTGCCCTCTAAAGGTTCAGAACAATTAATCACACTAGGGAGTCTGGGACTGCCCTTTCTTGGCCCTCCAGTGGCTCTTTTGTAAGAATAGTTTACTGGATATACTGGAGTATACTCAGAATAGGTCACCTAAGTGTGCTTCAAGAGAACACTGGTCTGGATGGTACAGGAGCATAGGGTAATGGACTGCTGGGGGTCTCCCTTTAGGGCATACACTTTTACAGTTGGGCCGAGCTTCTCGTGTATGGTTGTCTGCACTTAATTTGCTCTCTTCAAAGGATGATTGCCCAGTGTGCAGTTCTGGGAAGTTAGTGTGAGCCACTGTGTATCTAGTCTCCAGCTGCGCTATCTCCCCCATTCAACTATAAACAATAATACTTACTAGTTAAAGGGTCTGGTCATGGGGGGTGGGCTGGGGGAAGGTGAGGGGGGCGGTAGGGGGGAGAACAAGGGACTCCGTGGCTGATATGTAGAACTGAATTGTATTGCAAAATAAAAATAAAAAAATTTTAAAAAAAAGAAGGGTCTGGTCATGGGGTGCAGGGCGGCAGCTCTGGAGAGAAAGGTTACAGCATTCCATGAACAATCTGGGACTCACAGACCATGCTTGTAATAGCATGCGTGTAATAGCAGACAGCCTCCATTTTCCAGTCTCTTTTTTTTAGTTTTTAAAAACTTAATAAGAATGTAAATTAAATCATTCTCTCTCCCTTTCCTACCTCTTCCATGCCTGCCTCCCCCGAAATCTACCACTTCCTCTTCTTTACCCTTTGCTGTTACATATACATATGAGTAAACATATAACTATAGCCTGTTGAGTACTTTCAGGGTTACCTGCACGTATGTTTCTAGGGATGATCACTTCTGGATTACAAACTCGAGCTCATCCCTGGGGAAAACTAACTCTCTGAGCAGCTGTTAATTGCTTTCAGCTCCTAGTCTAGGGTGAAATCCATGAGATTCCCTCATGTCCATTGGAGTGTCACACCGGTGTTGGAATTGTTCAGATCTTGTTCAGGCAGCCATCTTGAGATTTCCAAAGGGTAGCTTTCCTATCATAGATAGATGGCACAAACTTACAGGAGAAATTTTGGTCCTCTGGTTCTTACAATCCTTGCTCCCCCTCTTCCACATGTTCCCTGAGACTTATGTGCAGGAGTTGTGTTGTAGATGTATCAGTTATGATTGGGCACATACCATGGTCATTTGAGTCATTTCTTCTCTGCATTTTGATTCGCTATGGCTAATGGCCTTCACTCCACATTCTTCACAGAAAGAGCAACCAATCCAACCTTGGTAGATTCATTAGATGCCTCTTCTTATAGCTGCTTTGAGCTGAGGGGGAAGAGGTGGTCTGGCTTATCAACTGTTATTCTGGCTGAAGTTTCACGAGATGCCACAAAAACACTAACAAAACCTACTTAGGAGTGGTTTGGATAGAAGGTTCTTGTTGCCTGGTCCAAAAAGCTTAATGGAAGGAGACCTTTGGCTGGCAGGGCCTTAAAATCTTGTAGAAGCATCAGCAACAGGTGGAACTGGTCAACTCCAGAAGACACAAACTTGACAGGCAGGTTAAAATTCAGGGACTAAATGGAAAAAGTAAGCATATGGCTCCAAGTGGTTCCAGAAAGAGACACAGCTGAGATACCCTGACCTGCCGCAGTCTAGCCCTCCTTGGGATGCTTTCTCCTGAACATCACTATCCTGCTGGGTAAAACTTAGACTTTGTTGTACTTGTCTGCATTTGTTACATGAAAACAGCCTCTACCTTTAGCACATATGATACAGGTTCTATCTTAAACAATCTGAAATATAGGGCTCTGCAGTTTTAAGGCACAACTGATGCAAGTAAAAATAACTATTTCAATATTATTTAAATTTGGGGCTTATTTAGCTATCTGACTAGTGAGGTTTGTGAATAGTCTTCAAGAAGTGTCTTGGTATCATTTCTGTTGCTGTGATAGTAAAACAGCACTGACAATTAGCAACTTAGGGGAGAGGAAGTTTTATTCCAGTTACAATTGTAGTCAGAAGATTTCCTGTGTCCCGGCCTGCTGGCAGTCAGGATAAATCTCTCCTTCTTGCATCCCCCATGTAAACACACACAGGCTTATACTAATTATAACTGCATGGCCATGACTCAAGCCTTTTGCTAGCTAGCTCTTATATCTTAAATTAGTCCATAACTATTAATCTATGTATAGCCACATGTTCCGTGGCCTTACCTGCATCCCATTACATGTTGCTCCTTGTGCAGCTTGCTGGTGTCTCCCTCCACCTTCTTCCTGTCTCTTTCTCTTTGAATTTCCTGCCCGCCTCTAAGCTGCCTTGCCATAAGGTAAACATCTTTATCAACCATTTGGAGCAACACAAATTTACAGCATACAGAAAGACATTCCCCATCATACAATTCCATGCTACCATCCACTCTAGCAGGGCAATCACAGCAACAATAGCTAGAAGCACCTGGTCACATCCACATTCAAAAACAGAGAAATGAATGCAGACATGTTTACTTGCTTGTGTTCAGCTGAGTTTCTCCACTGTTAAAATAGCTAAAGGTCCCCTGCTTAGGGATGGTGTTGCCTACAGTGGTCTGGGTGTTCCCATATTACCAACCTAATAAAGACCACCCTCCTCACAGACATGCCCACAAGCCAACCTAGTGTAGGCAATCCATCATTGTGCATGTCTTCCTAGGTGATTCTAGGCAAGAATTAATTCTTAATTCTAGGTTGAGAATTAAGCTAAACCCTGAACAAAACAAAACCAAAACCTGAGCAATAGGCCTGTCACACACACAAGTTTTATGCCTTTGAGAAGGTAGCAGAATGTCAAAATCTTGTTGTGTTATGAGACAGAGAACTGGGGGTTGTAGACATCCCCATGAGGCAGGAGAAAATCAGGATAGAAGATAGTTTAGAGGTGATCAGTTGGAATACAGCTGCCTAGTAATGTTCTGGGTGTCCTCTTTAACTGGGTAAAGCTGGTTACCCGTATGACTTTTGGCTTTTGTAAAATACCTTTGTGGTTTGCAGAAAGACCACATCTCCAGAAGAAACTCTCAGGATGAGGGTCCTTGTGGTACTACTAAAATTGGCTTATGATTATTTTCCTCTTTAGTTATACTTTCCCACCGGGTGTTTAGTCCACGTGGGTGGTAACAAATTAACTTCTATTTGTTTAACAAATCTAAACCTCTGTGGTCAGTTCAGCTTCCTTATGAGGTGCTCTTAGGGATATAGGAAGAGTGTGTTGGCTCCTCTAGTCTTTCTCTGCTAGTAGTATTACATAACAGGATGGGTCAAGGTCTTGCTGGCCATGCTACTTCCCTAGGAAGCACTGAAGACTTTCCTGCTATGACTTTTCTCTTCCAAGCACACACAGCGGCTAGACTTCAACCTGTGAGGTGCCCATGGCCTCTCTGATCAAGAGAACGGGTGACTTGCCAAAGTTTAGGACCCTCTTAGACATGTTGACACAAAATATTGACTGTTCTATCATCCTTGCGAAGATTAGTATTTTTGTCACTGTGACACAAGCTAGAACTGTCTTGGGAAATGGAACTTCAACTAAGAAAATGTCTTCATCAGCCTGTCCTGTAAGTTAAAGTCTGTACGGCATTTTCTTGAGTCATTATT